GTTGAGTTAATTAAATGTTTTGATCGTAAACTACACATCAAAACTACTGTTTACACTTTAATTGCATCTACCCCAGTTAAAGTGATATTGTATTGAGTTTTTCGATTTTGCTTCTGTGTATTTATTGCATCGAAGCATACTTGGTCGACTTTTATTTGGTTTATTTAAGGTCTGAAATTCCCTTTACATACACTGTTTTTTGTCACAGTTCTAGTTGATTTTCACTCATAAATGTGGACAACCATACTGCTTATTTCCCGTGGATGAAGGGATGCAATGTGATGAGTGTAATAAGTGGTTCCATAAGATGTGCACCCTACTAAGCCCCACTGCATATAAAAGGTGTTCACAGCCCAACTCTCATTGTCTTTGTAGTTTTTGTTGCTCAAGCAAAACATTGCTTATCCAGAAAGCAATTAGTCTCCTGGTGTTGTCTAATAAGAAGGTTGATGAGGGCTGTAATGATAACATTGGTACTGATGGCGAGGATTGCGTTAGTGTCGTAAGTGCTATAACGGCGCAAGCCAGACATCTACCTGTGCAACCCGCAGTTAAACGTTCTCTCCCGAAACGTTCAGTGAGTGACACGTCATTAGACGTTGGTGGCCATATTGCTACAGCAGCAACCGGTGACCCAGATAAAACGATTACCGTCCCGAGTTGTTCTAATGTAGACGTTTCGACTGATGGAAAATGGATGACGCAAAAACGCAGAAGAGTAGGAAAGATAGCTAAAACTAATGACTGTTTACTTGGTAAGTCCTTGGTGGACTCTCAGGTCAATCCGCCAAATTCCCATAGTAAGGCTTCGTCTGACATTGTTGTGAGTCATTCGCTTGACTCTCAGGACTCTGTTAAAATAAGAACTAATCGTAAGATAACAGTAGTTAAAATACAGGATCTAACGTCACGGTTGAAAGGTGTGAACACAGTTTCAAAAGAAGCCAAACCCCTCCCTAGTTTAATTATTTGGAATCTAGAGGAGTCGAACGACAATGACCTTGCTCGAAGACATGCACATGACCTGCAGTTAGTGGAGTCTGTGGTAAGGAATGAACTACCTAAAGAGGTTTCAGGAATACATATTACAAAAGTAATACGTCTTAGTAAATGGGTTGGAGACGAGATCCAACCAAGAAGAATCCTGTAGCTGGTTCTCGGGAGTTTTGAAGAAAGAGATATATGATTGAAAAACGCACTAAAAACTCGTGCCTCAAATATCCGTATTCGACCAGATTGGTCACTTGAGGATCGAATCAAGTGGAAGAATGCTCTTACGGAGTTGAGGACTCGCAAATTAAATGGCGAAAATAACCTTACAATTAAGGGTTTTCGGGTAGTCAGGTCTTGGAAGCCAATGCTTCTGAGGCCTGTATGAGTAGAACGATTGATTGCCAAAACACCTTAAGTGTGTGCTACACGAACGCTCGTAGTTTTAGAAATAAAACATCCGAGCTAAGTCTGATGGTGCAAGAATTATGTCCCGATATAATCGTCGTTACAGAAACTTGGTTCACCGTTGATATAGACTGTCCTCCTTTCATTGCTGGTTATATCTGTATCAGAAGTGATAGAGTTTCAAGTCACAAGGGAGGAGGTATAATATTATACGTTAGGGATCACTTTTGTATACAATCAACCATATCGGAGGCCCATATCAGTGGCACATGTGAGGTTGCATGTTGTAAGATTAAATCTAGATATGGGTTAGTGACTATAGGGGTAACATACCGTAGTCCGTCTTGTCTTGCTGACGACTTTGTCCTAAGACACATCTGTCCTTGGAGTATGGCAGAATGTTGTCTCATCATTGGGGACTTCAACGCACCGCATATCAAATGGATAGAGCTTACAGCTCCAGGTAGTGGTTTTGATAGCGACCTTTTATCTACCGTTATTCAGTGTGCACTTGTACAATGTATCACAAAACCGACACATATTGATTTGCAACATGTTCCGTAACTGCTGAACCTCGCCCTCACCCACCACTCTGAGGATGTCCTTGATATCCAGCACCTTCCTCCACTAGTGAACAGTGATCGCGTTGTAATTCACTTTAAGTTTAGGACACATGGTATACAATTCGTATCTGCTCCACCCAGTTTTAATATCTGGCGAGCTAACATTCCGGAAATCAGAAACTGTGCTATCTCGACTGATTGGTTGGTCGACGCGGATGGATTGATCGAAGATGAATGGAATAAGTTTAAGGCCACATTCGAGTCCGTAACGTCGCCGTTTATCCCATGGTCAGCACGTAAGCTATCACGTTGCCCTCCATGGATTAATAAGGAAACCCGGAAGCTGTTAAAGCGTAGAAAACATTTCTGGGACTTATTCTTGTTGACAGGTCATGCACCATTTAAGCGTGAGTACCAAAAATACCGTAATATCTGTAAGAAAACCATAGCCAAATCTCGTACCACTTACGAGCGACAGTTATTATATGATAGCCGTACTTGTCCAAAACGATTGTTTTCGTATGTTAAACGGCAAATGAAACGTAGTGATAGTATTCCCCCGTTACTGTTACACGACAATTCAGAATTACTAGCTGAATCAGATCGAGCAAAAGCTGAGACTTTTTCAGACTATTTTAGCGAAGTCTTCTCTACGTTTATTGTAACAAATACTTGTCCCACTCACACCGAGATACCAACCATTGAATCTGTACAGGTGACTGAGGAAACTGTCCTTCCGTTGATAACTAACCTCAAACCTGGTAAGATACCGGGCCCTGACGGGTTACATCCACGGTTGCCGTCATCTCTTGCGGACATCATTTCAAAACCGCTTGCGACACTCTTCAACATGTCCCTCTCACTCGCTCAACTCCCTAGAGAATGGAAGGACGCTATAGTTAGTCCTATATTTAAGGACGGTCAGCGACAGATAGTATCTAACTACCGGCCTGTCAGTCTAACTAGCATAGTCGTTAAGTTACTCGAAAAGATAATTCGGGTTAGGTTGCTAAGCCATATAGATTTACACAATCTGTTAGCTCCTGAGCAACACGGATTTCGTAACAAGCGTTCATGCTGGACTAACTTGCTTATTGCGAGGGAGGATTGGACAGCAGCCCTAGATAACGGTCTGTCTGTCGACGTGATATTCATAGATTTTAGCAAAGCGTTTGACAAGGTTTCACACGTAGGTCTTATGCAGAAGCTCACGAGCTTCGGAATAATAGGTACTGTACATGAGTGGATAGGAAATTTCTTATGTGACCGCAGACAGAGAGTTAGGGTCAACGGAACGCTATCCGATTGAAAGCCGGTCAAAAGTGGTGTACCCCAAGGCACCATCTTAGGCCCTCTGCTCTTCCTTCTCTACGTTAATGATTTGCCACTGTTACTTAGGTCGTCGACATTATTGTTTGCGGATGATGTAAAATCTGGAGAACAATAAAAAGTGCGGCTGATCATGTGGATCTTCAAGCTGACTTAGACGATTTAGTTAGATGGGCTCGAGAGTGTGGCTTAGAAATCAATGCTAGGAAAGAGTGTACTAATGCACATCGGTCACGGTAATAGTTACTGTTACACTATTGAGGGTAAACCTCATTCCATGCGTTCAAGAGCATAAAGACTTAGGAGTAATATCAAGTCATGATTTAAAAACAACTACGCATTGCAAACCAACCGCTGTCAAAGGTTTTCGTGCGTTATGGTCACTTCGCCGAGCGTTCCAATCTTTTGACGAGGAAATGTTTCGAATTTTATATCCCATATATGTTAGACCACATTTAGAGTACTGTATCCAAGCAGCCAGCCCGTGTCTGGTAAAGGATAATAACTCCCTTGAGCGTGTCCAGCGTGTGGGAACGAAATTAGTGAAGGGTCTTTCTAGAATCCCTTACGATGAGCGTTTAAAACGCCTAAATCTTTTCCCCTTGTTGTATCGTAGGACACGAGGTGACCTTATACTGGCATTTCGTATCTTTAATTATGATTTGGGTGTTAATATGTCTTATCTTTTTGCTCCCTCTAGCACTAATAATCTCCGAGGTCATAGCAAGAAGGTTCATAAACCACGATCTAATAAACTTAAAGTGCGGTCCCGTTTTTCTCATCAAGTAGTCAATCATTGGAACGCCTTACCCGAACAAGTGGTATCAGCCCCATCAGTGAATACTTTCAAGGAAAAGCTGGACCTTCACTGGAAAGCAATGTGTCAGGATTAACACAGGTTCATCAACCTACTATCCTTATCACTGAAGACTGAAGACAACTGAGAGGGGAGTATGAAATTATTGGCTCTCAAGGACGACGCATGTAGTCCAACTTCTGGAGGTTGCCGTGTAGGTAATCGAAGAGTGGCTAGTAGGGTGTGGTTCTGACCTTTACAAGAACCGTCAACTGGTGGAATTCAGCTTTATTGCGTTATAGTACATCTTCCGTTTGGCATAATCTCCGTTAAAGCTATCTCAACTTTTGTTACTAGACCTGTCTGTGATGATTCTGCGAAATCTCAACCTCATAACATTTTGGTATTAAGGCCACCAAAAATTCGCGAGTTTCTCAGGTCCAGAGTTTTTTTTCAAAACATGATCAGATTTTTCCAAGCTTTGGATTTTTCTCCTGAATTCTACAGATCGGTAAACTGAACTGACATATCGAGGTGCCATTTTAAAAGTACAATTTACAACATACCAAAAATAACAAACTGTAATGACTTACCTGCGCCAATTTGGAACGAATACGTTAGTGCAACATCAGTGAGCATATAACCAAACCGATAAAAAGGTGGAATTATTGATCGTTAGTCTAAGAATGTCCTAACGGAACATATGACTATATGCATGCAGAACACCACTTTTTCACGTACACTTTCTTACGGTGCTTACGTATTTAATATTTTGTATCGTGCATGTAAGCCCAGCATGCGAAAAGTTTTACCTTTAAGTCTTTCCCATGGAGTCACTTGGTTTTGAATTAGTAACATAACACCTTATCGATCGAATTTCCCGCAATTCTGACTTATTGTGAATCGTTTGGTAAAAACAGTAATTGTTAAAGCTGGTTTTGGTTTTAGTCTCGTGCAGTGCTTATTAAATTGCTCGGTTGCGGTGATAGAACGTAACTCAACAGTAATTTCACTGCTTTTCTAGGGTTTGTCTCACTGATATTCTATAAGTTTCTTATCTTGACTGTAACAAAAACAATAGCAACTTACGAAAGCTCACAATACAAGACGTCCTAATGGGTTTTTTTTAAAATGGGGGCCTAGTAATTTATGTATTTTATTTCTTGGAAGTCACTGGTCTCATTCCAAGTCACATAAACCGGGGGAACTCCAAATCACAAAGTCCGCGAATTAACGCCAAGTTCGTGTACCTGTACTTGTTTACTAATTTGCTGGAAAGTTTAAAATTCCTGGTAGATCCTATATTTTGCCTACATTCTTCATTCTCTAGTATAACAATCTTTTTTTCCGTGTCGATTACTCATATACCGAGAGACCTGCCATAAAAAAATGTGCATTGCTCTATTCTTCGACTAAGAAAAAAATTGCCTTGGAAAATGCCGATCCAGTCAAAACAAAGTCTGCAAAAAGTACTCATTGAGGTTAGAATCGGACAAAGTATTAAAATTATTAAATTAAAACGCGTTTCACGAAGCGATCTTCACCGTTTTGATAAACTTAATCCACCTAACTTTCCAGAAAATTATATATTTAATGCTAATGCACACTATTGAGGATCATATCACATATAGACTAAGAAACAAGAAATGCTAGTCTTTCCATATGGTATCTCTTGGTCCCATCATTCTTGCTGTTAATAACCAAAAGTCAAAAGTCGTAACTTGAGAGACTCAATATGTTTATGAAAAATAAAAGCCACTGTACTATTTGAAATCAAGATAAGTTTGTCACACAGTTTCTGATGACCGTCTAATTGTGTGCTGTAATTATCAGTACCCTCGTCCTTAAATCTTGTTGATTGAGAAACTATTCAGAATTTGTGTGAACTTGGTAGTATTGTACCAGCCTGTACTATTAGACCGTTATATTTGCTGGATTGTGGACTTGATACTTTCTTACCAATTTAGAATTGGAGGGTCAACAATTAGGAGTAGCTGGGTAACAACAATATTAATTCGCAACTGGTTGAAAGTATGGAATGGTAACTCATTGGTTAGGGCGTGTGACTTTCATGCATTTAGTTGCAGGTTCGGACCCCGATTTACTGACTCCTTCTGGGCTACCGGATAGGATAACTGTTCTTCACATTTAAAGCGTGATTTGGACCCGAGAACACGTTTTTTGTCAATAGTAATGGTAATAAAGTAAAAGCGTAAGCTGCTCTAAGCTTTATCGAGACAGCTATAGAAAATCTAACAGGTTCATTATTATGTCATTATTAGCTTTCACTTTAAGATTCCTAACGTTCTTGCTCGATTTCTGGCTCTATTATTATTTTTGTTAATTATGGATTACAGTTATTTGCAATGCTTGCACATGTAGTATTTCAGTTCGGTGATTTATCAACTTTTTCTACCTCCATCAAATACTACTTCACGTTTAAAACGTAACTTTATGCCTGTTAAAACTCATTTTCTTTGCAGAAAATTGCGTTTGTGTCTTCCTGGGAAACAAATGAACGAATCCTTAGCTAATGGGATTATCAAACCTATGATTTGTGGTTTATGCAGGAAAACGTCTTCATATATCTGTCCTCGATGTAGTATTAATTATTGTTCACTGACTTGCTATCGAAATGAAGCGCATAAGGACTGCTCTGAATCATTTTACCGAGATTGTTGTATTGAATCACTGCGCTGTACCTTTTCCAAGAAGTCAGAAAGATCACATATGAAAGAAGTGTTAAGGCGTGAATCATGTGCTTTATCAGATGACTTCCAGTTAGCAAATGTGGAATTTCAGGTAGACAATGATTATACAGATGATAAGAATGAGAGTATTGAAGATGATTTGCCAACTCGGTAAGCGTTTCTTGTTCTTTTTCATCAATAGTTTAGTTACTTTTAAACATGATTTGTTACATGAAAATATTTTTTTTGTATAAATAGGAAAAAAGCTTAACATTTCTTGGATTTAATTATATAAAAATTATATGACTTCTGTCACGTTGAAGGTTGTCTTCAAGATCACTAGAAAATTTCTGCCTCCATTTGTGCATCATATGAGAATACGAACATACCTGATTCCAAACAAGATTAGATCACGGACCAAGCATTTTTGAATCGGGATTACAAATTAGATTAAATGGGTAATTCTGTGATCCAATCAAAACCCAATAAATTTAAGGATTTATCAGTAACATAGCATTTGGATTTGATTATTAGATCATTAAATTTGACTGAACATTTAATAATTCTAGTAATTTTGATTTGGATGCCCGATGCGTTTTTATGCAATCGTTAGTAGGATGAATGCTTAAACGACAAAGTTCGTACCAAGTTTTGCGAGAAATCAAAGTAACATCGGATGCAGTATTCACCTGCAATGTGATAATACGATAAATACTTGCGTACACATTGGGGTTTAGATTTGGAAAATACATGCATACAATTGATCCTTCTTGGCATTCGATAATGATATGAGGGCTTGCTGCGTTTGCGAAATTTCTACTTATGGTCAGTCAGTCCACATTTATTTTTATTGAGTGGACAGAAACGGGAGAAATACCATGCTCCATCAACTAGTGGAAGGACTTGTAAAGCGACGTGAATTAGAGTCGTGAACATCACACGTTCGATTTGGGCTAGCAAATTTTTGCGGATCATGCTTCATGACATCAATAGTGCGGTCTGAATGAGAGATTTTCATCAATTGGGATTCGGTTCGATCATTTTAGTATCATTCTTAAAATTAATTATATGGCGACATTCAATTGTGTTATCTTTCAACGTAAGATTGGGATCTGACTCGATTCTGCTTAAAATTCTGATACAAATATCTGTGTGTGACGATTGCAACCCGTGTACAAAGGTAAATATTTAAATTGTTCATCAGAAAGTGAACGCAACTTAAAACTCCGCATTGCTTATTAACAAATGGTGCATACGAAACGAAGTCCTTTTCAGGTCTCCTAACAGTTCAAAGACAATTACATCGCAAATTAAATAAAGGAGTCTGATCCGTAAAAATTTCTGTTAGTTTTCGTACAGTAGAATGAAAAGATCGTTGGGTTTCTTTGGCAAGATAAGGTTCGAACACTTTTCATGTTCAGCTGCTCTAAGCTTACGAAGTAGAATTCTCACCGAGAAGTGATCATGATGGGAAAACTTAATTTTTAAGGTGTCTTCATACCTCTTGAACCATGATTCAAAGGTGACACCAACACCAGGATCAAAATGAAACTCGCTCATTATTTTGGTCAGTGATTAGGTAGTCGAGCCCCTTAATTCGGACATACGTACTGAATTTTCTTGAATTGAAAACTTCTGTACCATCATTTCGACCTTTTACAAATGTGATGCTTGAAATTCTTTTTGATGATGCTGCAATGTAGATTTAAGCCGATCTTCTTAGATCGACATTCTGGAATCTTGTTCATTTTTACGTGGGTTTGACAGAAATACGTCGCCAGAAAATGTTGCTTCTAGCGGTATCCGTAATCTGATACTGATACGCTGTGTTCTACGCATTAACCCCTCCAACTTACTACTTGGGCAAGTAAGGATATTGGATTAATGAAACAAATCCACAAATACTCTCTCATACATATACCACTATTCCTAGGAAATTTATTCAATTAGATGCACTTGTTTTTTGGGTCACTTCTAATGGCCATCGGTTGACCTTCTAATTAGGCTAATTCTGGTTGGCTCTCTATTTCACTATACCCGATATCAGTATTGTTTACTCGTTAATTAGTACTAACCAAAACGTTTGCGTATCTGGGTAGTTATATGGATGCTGTTGGTTCCTTAGTAGATGAGATCAATCCAGTAATAACAAACCAGTTGAATTCTTACCTAGGCCATCTTTCGAACCGTCATGATATCAGCAACGTCTAAAAACTATCAGTGGGAGCAGTTCCACTTCATGTCCTTTCCGAGTTGAGGATATTCGGAGACTATGCTCGATCAACGTTGTCTCCAGAGGAGTGCTGATATCCAATCGCAACACCATGTTAAGGTCCTGGAATGTATGTTCGATTGCAGTGACGTCTATTCAGTTGGTGTTATCTTGAAATAACAACTTCGGTAGTTTGGTCATGTTATGAGTGTCATCCCAAGTTACCTCAAAATACTCCACTCTCTCCATTCTTGTTCAACTTTGTGGTCGACGTACTTTTAGAGATAACCCTTTCCTCATCTAAATTTACAGGGGTTGAACTTCTACGGGGAGGTTCACTTGTTGACTTAGAATATGCTGATGATATAGTTTTATTTGGTGAAGACGCTGACAAAATGCAGTCTTCTGACCACTCTAAGCAACAATGCAAGCATGTTCGGGATGCGATTCTCTCCCTCGAAATGCAAAATGTTGCTTCAGGATTGGGTTACATCGACACCCGAACTAGTTATAGGGAGTGAAGTAGTTGAGTGTGTCGACCGCTTCACTTATCTTGGAAGTCTCATCAGCCCTTGTGGTCTGGTGTGTGACGAAATCTCAGCACGGATACAGAAGGCTCGACTAGCTTTTGCCAACTTGCGTCATTTATGGCGTAGGCGAGATATCCGTCTATCAATCAAAGGACGGGTTTACTGCACTGCAGTTCGTTCCGTCCTACTTTATGGCAGTGAAACATGGCCGGTAAGAGTAGAGGATATTCCTAAGTTACTAGTATTCGACTATAGATGTCTTCGAAACATTGCTCGTATATCATGGGATCATCGAGTAAGTAACACAGATGTTAGGAAACGGGTACTAGGTAAGGATGGCAAATCAATTGATGAAGTAGTGAAACTTCATCAGTTGAGATGGCTGGGACACGTGTTACGTATGCCCAACGACCGACTGCCGCGACGTGCGATGTTCAGTGGTATGGGAGTAGATTGGAAGAAAGCTAGGGGCGGCCAGACCAAAACATGGCTCAAGTCCATGAAGTCACTGACAAGTGGTCTGAGTCATGTTGATAGGTATAGACTACCTGGTTGGGGACCGCGAGATGATAGCAACCGATGGTTAGAGACCCTGAATGACATGGCTCAAAATCGTTTGCAATGGCGCAGGTGCATCCACTCTTTGTGTTCTCCCAAATTCTAATCTTCTGAATTCTTCATGTCCCTTTTTTCCTCTTTCCAAATTTATTTCACTGAATTATACTCTTTAAATAACATCTCCAATCTCTAATCTTCCCGATCACTGCTTACACTCTTGCTACCTCTACCACTACGGGATTTGGATCGACAACTGCATCTCTGTGTTAAGGTGGTGTGGCAACTCAAACTGATGTACGTACGTACGAAGTTCTACGTTGTTACTGACTGACTGACCTCAAAATACACTTTGTGTCGACTCTTATGTTGGTTGAAAAAAGAGGTAATCCCTGTATGATATGCTGTTGTGATGAGATGGATGCATAATAAGACTGGGATCTGTCAGTTCGTCACGACTTAATGATTAGGGTCTTAGACGTAGCACGACTCAGTGGCTTGAAATGTTACCATGTATACTTCAGAATAGAAGCCATTAGATATCCTGGTGTATTTTCCTATTGTAGAATTCATTCTAGTGCGATGAATTCTTTTAACTAAAATGTGCTTCTCTCAACCAAATTTTTAGTTATTTATTAGTTATATTACTCTTTCCTCCTCTATTTATTCACAATATTATAGCTTCATTTGTGCAGTACATCTTGTATATTCTCTATTAAAACACAGTTTACATGCACCGTGAATAAATAAAGCGCAGTTGTTCCTTACGAATTGCAATAATATTTATGAAGTACAGGACAAACTACACAGCAATCGCCGCTTGTTTCGTACAGCTATATCCTCCTAGGCTGGTAAAACCTTCAAGACTTATTTAGCTTCACGTAATAATAAGTATAGGCTTTTCAATTCTAAATCTCTTTAGATTATTTGGAAAATTTTCAACAAGTCTAATGCGTGAATTTAATGGAGGGATCAAAGTTACATCCCTCTTAATTTCATTTATTGCGTACATATATTACGTAATAGCATTATTGTCATTCAACGTTTTCTTAACAGTAGGTTAATTCTTATGCTTTGAAACTAAAGTTGTTAATCGGAATAAAAACTTCGGAATGTTTTTGTTTCAGTTTAGGTGATTTAAATTTGGAAACCGAAGATGCTGATGCCATCTGGTCATGTTTGACCCTGAAAGAAAAACGAGATTTCAGTCGACTTATTCAGTCAAATGCTATCGTTCATTTCATACCAACATGGACTCCCTGGTGGTTAGAGCAAAAATCAATTATTGTAGAAGTAAATCAACAGAATATTTCAGTGGAAAATTCGCGAGCCTTACCTAGTATTCAATCGTTAAGTCAACTTTTACCATCCGGAATATCACCTCACCCTTCAGTTGGGTATATTTTAGCAGATGTATTATTGGGATATGCTTTTGTTATGAGGTAAGCTAATAACATCGAGTAATCCAATAAAGTTTTATTTAGCTTCAAGTTTCCACTGATTTTGTTGTAAAAATTAATGTTTCCTTGTATTTTATTGGATTTGTGTATGTCTGTTAATTAACTGACTAAACTCTAGACTTGAAACCATAGTTACTGTATGATCCCATAGTACTGTCCAAATTAATGTCAATCAAGCATTCTCAAATGTTTATGCAATGGAATGACATTTCAGAATTAAATAGAATAAGACAAAAAGCCGGTTGCATTAATGCTTGTCTAGGTTAGAAACAGTTATTTTCATATTATTGTCCTTGGTTGACTATAACTGTAGTAAAACAAAAAAATCTCTCCGTAACAGGTATTTCTGACGTTTCAGAAACTATTCTAGTTATACATACACACAAATTTACATACATATAACTTAAGAATCACCTTGACAGAAATGACATGACATCAACTTGTTTTTGATTGATCCAATATTATTCTTGCATTGTTCCGTTGTACTATTTAAACTTGGATTAATTTTAATTTGGTTATTTATTCTCTGAAGAAATGACTTACACTAAGTCACGAAACGTCAGAAAATCCAATTTTCTACTCATTGGGATATTACAAATATATTATTTTTATTTATATTCTAGTTATTGTACCTGTACTTACAATTAACAATATATATACACTTTGATCAAAGTTGGTGATTATTGTGACTCATTGATCTAGTGGATAATGAGCTGGCATTTTAAGCGCTTTATTCTAGGTTTGAGTTCAGTGTAAAGATTAACACTGGAATCCAAATATATTCAGGCAAAAATTTCAAACATAGGGAAAAAAGCGTTCTGCTCCTGGCTCGTTTATCAAGAAATATTTTTTTAAAAGGAATTTTGTGTCCATCTACTGTCTGTGTATAAATCATTTTTTCTACTTATTAAAGATTTTATAATGGTGACTACATGGACTTAATCGATGATGCAGGAACTCTTCTGTGTAATATAGTTTTATCATTCACAAAATCTCAGACTACTTCAGTCTCATCACTAAACACTACTACTTCTACTAATAATAATTCATCAGATTATTTAAAGAAAACAAGAATAATTAAAAGACAGAGTGTAAATAATCCAACTCATCAAATATATAACTGTATAAATGAAATTCTTGCCGCAATTCAATATAAACTTATGGAGCTAAATTTACCTTGCCATCCTTCAATTATGATACTATTGCTTGAAGATCTTAGTCATTTATTAGATGATATTGGATTTTGTAATAAAGCACTGAAAGACGTGCATAAATTAATAGTGAATTTCAGAAAATCTCTACGTGCTGTAAATTCAAATGAAAACTTACGATTAAAAGCAAATGTTGCTCATCATAAATTAGTCTTTCTTCAAGCTTGCCTTGATGAGAACAATCAATTGGCTAAACGTTGGCAAACAAATGTTTTACCAAAATTATGTAATCAAATATCTAATGAATTAATTCAACGAATTAATGATATTGAAAACTCAAGTACAGATAGACGTGATGAAAAATCTGCTGGTCCAAATTGGCGCAATATTATTCGCGATGGAAATATTTACAAAAGTTCTTATTGTCGTACGTTAGTCGAGTCACTTGATACTAATAACTAAATGTTTTATAATTTTTTGATTACCTGTACATAATATACATATTTTAATATTTGCTTATGGCAATAAATCGAATATTTTATCAGCTTGGTAGAAGTTTGCTACTACTTTGATACAGTGGTTGAGGTTGCCTACCGTGACGACAGGGTTGAGGTTTATTGACATGACCACATGTACCATAACTTCCTAACATACCAAAGATGTAAAAACCTCAGGTTAGTCGTACTACTGACCATATTAAGGTTTAGGGTATTTCCCATCGATGACCACCACCACCAATAATCTGTTCTCGTAGATGAAAGAAGAGATTGTGAAGTTTATTTTCTGAACAACACGCTACTATTGTCTTACGAAATTGCGATGCTGGTAGAAGTTAACTCAACAGAATTGATAGCTTACTGGTTTTGCGTTTGATAAGTCATAAAGAAACCTTACGTCTAGTCATAGCGATTGATAGTATTAATTAAACAGGGAATATCTGCTACTCAATCAACTCTGATATATTAAAAGAACTAATAACACCGACAACCGTGAACAATAAACGTATAAAACTTCATGTTTCGAAAGCGAAAAGCTAGAACTATACAACTCATCAAAGATCGATTAAGCGAATAGCTATTCAATACAAATACTTTTACAAGGTAACTAAAAATGAGGCTAGGATACATCGTATTAACAAGTTAGGCAATAAAAGGTTTTTTTTAAAAGCATAACTTCGAAGGGCGCATAGGAGCAGAAGAAAAACTTTCCACAGTTTTAGTGAAGTGTGTGCTACTGATGTCGATGGATATAAGTATGTATTACGAATCGAAAGTGAAATGCCTGAAGGCAGAAGAGAATATTGATTGGTTTAGAAAAGAAGGTACAATCAAATCTGAGATAACTGAAGTTTTGCAAACGAAGTATTTACTGTATGGTTTCTCAGATTTTACTAAGAGATTCTGTAATTTTCTATTCAAATACATTTGGTTGCCCCCACGGGTGTTCTCGTTCACTATGCTAGTGCTTAGGCAAATTCAAGGAATATAATCAAGTAATCACCGGGTTTCAAACCACAATAAATTACATGAACTCGTATGAAATAAGATGTTCCTTTGCTAAATGGGACATCTAATGTATGATAGTGTGATTCATCTAACAGGTGGTAGTTTTGATGGACTGTGCCATTAAAAAATATTTTCTATCAATAGTACAAGAGTTTCAGTGAAGAGACACCTTCCTAAAGTTACCCCACTTATCGATTGAAAGATAATAGGACTGAAAAACTGGTATCAAAAAAATGGAGAGTACACAGTAGAACTATGAGAAATCCCAAAAAGTGAATTTAGAACGATTGTGCTAAACCACTTATCAAAGAAAAATCCCAGTGAAATAACCAAGTGTATGTCAGAATACTTGATTGGTCCATTTATAAAAAGTAGCAGATGTCAATTAAAACAACATATTTTTGGAAAACTTTGTTAGTTATGTAGAAATTTCCTACTTGATTGGGTGAGAACCACTTCCATGTACGATACAATACGAAAGCAAGTTGTGTCAGTAAGTATTGGAAATCATTCCAACTAAAACTAGAAACTGGGAAAATGCTTGTTTTAGCATTCAACTTGCGTAAATATTGGAGGTTAGATTCAGATAATACATGCATACAACTGATCCTTCTTGGCATTCGATAACGGGATGAGGGTTTGCTGTGTTTGCGAGATCTCTCCTTATGGCCAATCAGTCCATATTTTGCACATTTATGTTTATTGAATAGACAGAAACGGGAAGTAAGTAATACTTGACAATTCAGTTGAACAGTATAGAAGCAAAGATTTTATTTCTTAATTAAATAAGATTGTGAAAATACCATGGAATGGAAAAAATGCGATCCGAATTATATTTATGAAACCTATATATATATAATAGAATACATAAATTATTTAAATGCATTAGTTGTGTTTGTTGAAAATTAATTACATCTGATATATAGAAGCGGATTTTTCACATAAAACAAAGAATGCAGTTAGTGGTACACTGGTATATTATCTACAAGGAATCAATCGTTTTTTCATGTTAAATGATTCAGTTTGTATTGATCCAATAACGATTACCTAAAGGATGATCTTTAAAATAATATGAACCGTACTCTTCATACATTTGCTTAGTTGTGTAGTACTGTTCAGCATACGGTGAGTTCGCGAAATGACGCGCTCCATGCCATGCGTCCAAATGAGGATTAGCTGGTAAATTGTATTTATAAAACAGTATGAAATATCCACGTAATTCAAATTTCACCAAAGAAAACATTAGGTTTAAATAAAACGCTTAAATCAAAGTATGCTGATATTACAAAATGTATAAATTTGTTCAGATGTGAATAGTAATACCGCCTGCCATGTAAACTGAGCATAATCAGTCTGATCCTGTATAGCATCTACGTTGCTGATTAGTATCACATATATTATCAATGTATATTTATTAAAATTATCCAAAAAAAAACCCAAGGAAATATCGGGAAACATAAAAAAAGTACCTTAAATGTTGCAGGCTATGACGATTAACCTATTCTCGATTGTGTTCTTATTTAACTTTCTATATTTTGGAATTTTGGTTTATTTGTTAAAACCTTTTAAACTAAGAGTACTCATATTTGAAGTAATTGTAATAAAAAATAACGAATCGGAAGATGCATCCTGTATTTTGTTAGGAGAAACTCAAACTTATTTCAACTTACCAGCTACAATAACTTCAATGTTATCCCATTTTGATCCAACAGGTAATAAAGGCCTGATATCGTATCGAATTCGGTCGACAAGACCAGGTAGAGCAGCAACGCCACCAGTTAGATATATTTTTTGAGGAAAGCTTGGGTCAGATGAATTATCAAGTAAACGTGATGTATCTCGCAGTACAAACTCTAAACAATCGGAGAGACCAGCTTCTGAACTACCCATGAAACTTGGCTGAAATAAAACTTCATGAGATCTAATATAAAAAAAGAAGACATCGTAAAAAATACCATTTACTAAAAGAGGGTTTGCCAGTATTTCAGTCAAATGAGATGGGAGTTATTTATTTAGTTTATATTAATGTACCGAAAACCGGCCTTTCTTAGATGTCTACTATGTTTCTAATGTGATATACTGCCTAAAATTCTGTGCAGTGGTAGTGCGCCTTTAACAGTATTATTGACTGTTGAGAAAACATTTATTGACATCTCATGGAACTTGTCATATAGTTGGAGCTTCTAAGATTCTTTCACTAGAACTCAATGATCTTATGGATAGCAGACCAATCTATTGTTTTATTTTCATACACCAAGATCAAATAATGATAAATGACACGAACAATAAAAAAAAAAATAGGAAACAAGACTGTCTGTGTTAGTCTTCGTAGCAAGTTTTAAGCTGGTTCTCCTCAAACTGCCTTACCTGTCTATATTTATAGCAACTAGCAAACAAAATATTCGGAACTTATCCCATCCACTTTTTTGGATAAAACGTTTTTTAAGGACCGCTATCGTTTTACCTTGTTATTACTACTACTTATTATTGTAATTCCTATGTGATTTAAGTAAACTGCTCGCTTGTCTCAGTTTATACGCGAGTAACCAATCACATAGGATTGTGAATAAATGTAGTGTGGTACATACTTATTCCTATTTTAGTATGTTGTTTTTAATTATCGACTTCTGATTTGCTTCTGAAAAAACACAACCGATATGTATTGAAATACTAAGCCATCTCACATTTTATAAAAACGAATTCATTTTTATTTTCATCAAAATACAAAGGCAATATATCATTCATCTTATTTTAATTAAAAATAACTAACTTACCGCATTAGTTCTGTATCAACATGGATTTGATAAAATTGATCTAAATCAACTCTTAAATCGGTAACTCCCAAGTCCCTAAAATATTTCAATAATAAAACATATGAATACTAAAAACCAATATACACTCGCTTCATAATTAATTAGGGTTTTACGAACGAATCAAATGTGTAAATCTAATTTACTATATTAAAGACATTCACAAAAATAAGTTAAAAAAGAGCTCATTCTTCATTCCTTTTTAAAAATGGAAGAAAGAGAAAGAAAACCTTACTGGTCGCTTTGGTATCATTTTCAGAATATCCTAACGGTAGTATATAAGTAATAGCTTTAATTTTATAATGCATATATCTTCAGTCACTTGAACAGTGATTTTGTCTTTTGAAATCTATTTAGTGGATGGGTTTTTTGTAAGCAAATAATCAATTCGCTGACCGTCATCTGTCTTAGTATTATTTTACCAAACTGATTGTTTCAGTATAAAATCGTTTAGATCGACTCATAGATTCAATTACATAAAACATCTTATCTTTCAAATCTCTGGATTGTTACACGTTTTCCAAATATCAGAGATGATTTTATATTTAATCAACAAACAATTATGTTTAATATATACTCCCTTTAAAGTGCAACATAAAAATAATTTTTCGTCTACTTCTTCAAAGATAATTTTTATCACGAACGTGAAACAGCTAGAAAACCGAAGTGAACCAAATAGTTATTTCCCGCATATATGTGACTTCAAAGGTTTATATACACTATTGATGGTTGAAATACAGATCCTAACCAACTAACTGATTACAATTTCGAATACCCCTCTATCTATCTTGTTTCTGATAATAAAGAGTACTATGAATATGTAATTCCATTTAGTTGAAGCTTGACTCAATATTTGTGGGAATGAAAGATACAAGTAAGCATATGTACGGTTACACATATGCCCAAATAAAGTCATGGTAAGTGTGCTACTTATGGCGACATAAGTAGTATATAACGCTAGTCAGGAATAGAAAGTCTGACAGCAGAAGGTCGAGAAGGAAAGAACGAGAACAAAAAGCGATTGGTATGAAAATGCAGGAACAATGAAGTCCGAGACAAATAATAGACATTTTGCAAATGAAGTATTTACTGTATCGTTCTCAGATTTTACTAAAACGTTCTGTAATTTTGTGTTCCAATACATTCGATTGTCCCCACTTGTGTTCTCGTTCACTACAATAGCTTTAAGCGAATAACTGGCAAGGTCAAAATGTGACCCCGATTCGGTTCGTTGTACAGC